GAACAGTAGTGGTGCGTCCTTCGGGGGATTGGCTGCCTTCCGTTCGTGCCGTTTAATTGAATTTATCGAATCGGTGCACGAGAGGAGCCCTCCCATGATCATGTTGATCCGTCGACATGGTGAGCTTGGAGGTGTGTGATCGTCTTCACGGTCACGCTTTACTTCCTTGCCCTCGCGTTTAGAAGAGCGATCGATGTTATCTCTTCTATCGCGATCGTCATCGGGTCGCCTGTCCTCATCGTCGGATCGTCGTGAACTCCGGAGTTCTGGAAGGGTGATCTCGCCATCGTCCCACCTCTTCCTCAAGAGGGCTGGGAGGGTGCGGCAATCATCGGTATGATGACCATACGCCCTATGGTATTTGCACCACGGCTTCTTACTGTCGGGGTCTCTGTCGCTCGAGCGGTCCCACACGTTTCATGGCTTTTTTGGTCGTCCAACTGCGTTGATGCTCTTGCGATTCTTGTCATCCTTGTCGTAGTGCTGACGGAGCTCTTTGTAATCTTCCTGACTCGACGATCTGCCTTTCTTGTCGCGCGAAGATTTTTCATCGGCCAACTTGGCCTTGGCCTTGGCTGCCCGATCCTCCTCGACTCTGATATACCTGAATGCCTTGTGCAAAACATCTTCGAGGGTTTTGGTTTTTCCTGTCTTCAATCGTTCACAAAACGATGAATCATCCTTCAAATTCTTGATAAGAATGTTGAAGCACAGTTCGTCCGACAGACTGCACTGGGAGACGATTGATCGGAATCGATCGATAAAATCGCGCAGCGGTTCCGTGTCGCCCTGGACGCATGCCCATAGATCGAGCGCTGTGGACTCCGTGTCGAGGTAAATCGAATAATGCTTCAGGAACCGAGCTGTGAGCTCCTTGAAGCTGTCGATAGAGTTCTTGGGAAGCTGTGAGAACCAGGTGAGGGCGCTTCCGGAGAGCGTCTCCATAAAGTATTGACAGAGGCATGCTTCCCGTTCCTCATCGGTGAAGCGAGCACGTCCCATGACTGCGTTGAACGCGGTCAGGTGTCGCTTCGGGTCTGTCATGCCGGAGTAACTCGGAGGTAGCTTCATCTGACCTATGTCCTTAAGAGGAGCATTGGTGATAGCCGACGTGAACGGGGTTTGCTGTGTCTCCTGAAGGATCTTATCCAACTCGGGCGCTGAAGTCGTCGCCTTGTGGATCTTGCTGTGGATATCATCAAGGCGTTGGTGGAGAAGATCGAGTTCCGAGGTTGTCGTCGGGTCGGTTCCTGCGATATTGCGAGATGAGCGGGCATGCGAGCCGTCTGCCTGTGCTCTCCGTAAGTCGTCCGTCGGTGTCGTGCCAAACAAGTTGTTGACCAGCCTGGTCGTATCTGTATTGCGGATCGAAGGGTGAGAGGGAGTGATAAGATCGGCCTGCTCTTGGGTATGAACCCTAGAGTTTATAAGCCGATCCAAGTCTTCTCTGTAAGCTATCTGCTCGGCACGGAGGGACTCGAAGCGAGCATCCATCCCCTGTTGCAACTGTGCTGCAACCGACCTGATGATCATGGCCATGTCGATGGGAGGTGGCTGTGGTAGGCTGGTCGTGTTTGTGCCACCCGTCTGACCGACCTGGTCTGTTCCCCCGGTGTTCTGTGCGGTAGTTGTGTTGTCTTCCTGATCGGTCTGGTAGGCCACCGGAAGCCCTGTGGCTAGGTCGATGATCGGATCCTGAATGTTTCTTGTCGGATCGGAGGCTCCTCCTGTGAGGTCGGTAGTGTTGATCGGTGTTTGAACCATCTTCAAACTCCGTTCTAAGTCAAAGATTACTCTTTTATTCCCCTCAGACGGCGCCAACTGTAAAAACTCAAGTTCGATCTACGAAAGAATTAGGGTTTGTGGGTTTAAAGAGAAGTCTTTTATTAGAAGAAGCCGGAGCTTGAATGAAGACACGGGGGTTTAGGTCGTCGGAATAAGAACGCCGACCTAAACTTTTATGGAAAGTAAATCGAAAGCTAGAACAATCAGATTGCTTAGTTTGCCCTAGGTCTCGATAGATGATTTTTGGATAGATTGAGGAGTCGAGGACTTCCTATATTTATAGCCGATCAGGTCGGTTTTCAACCTGCTTGGAATAGGAAACTCTTGTCGGCAAGGAGTTTCCTTTTTTCCCGGGTCGCTCGATAAATGGAAGATTTCCTTTTATGTTGTCGACCTGGAACTTGTTAGCCGGGCCGACTAGAATTCATATCAGGCTTGTTAGAGATGGTACCAATCTCATCTCTAACAATCTAACAAATTATCCAACTTCGACGTGCATACGTTTGATTTAGAGAATAATTTTCTTACTAAGTTTTTGGTGTTTTGTTTTATGTCCTTAGGATATCTATAGTTCTTCTTTTTAAGGTTTATATGTTCAAATATTTAATTTTTGATTAAATATCTCACTGATGTTGTGTATCTATGTATATATAATATATGACTCATGTTTATTTGGATTTACTTTTGTTAGGATGCTACAATAATCATGTAAAACTGCTTTTTGCTTCTCTACCAGATTTTCTATTAATTTTAAGTTATATCTCTATTCAGTTTATAAGATCTGTTTTATTTGCAATTAACTATTTGTTAATTTTTTTTAAAACATGTAAGATGTTGTGAAGTCTTCACATTATCACTGTTTTTATATTTTGTGTGGTTTATTCATGTTTTGATTCGAATAGTTTATCTAGATATATTTTAATTTGAATTTATCATAATTTTGTCATAATTTAGCCCTGTTCTTCTGCTCGTCGCTGCGTCTGCGTCTGCGACAGAATAAAACGATGGTTATTGTAGCAATCAACAAACTAAACGACTTCGTCGGAGGCGCTGATGGAGAGAAAAGTAACCGCAGCAGTGGTCGCGTCAACTTAAAACTACCGCCTGAAAAATTTAGCGTTTCACAAACAACACCGGCGGCCATCTTTAACAACAGCAGTGTTCATTTTCAGCGGCAATTTTTCTCTCTGTTGCCGCAGTCACTTGCTTTTTTTTGCCGCAGTCACTTGTCGCAGCGATTAACAAACGAACAGGGCTTTTGTTATTTAAAAGAAATTTTAGAAGATGTTACTCATATGCTGTTCATGTTGGCTAAGTTATAAGTAGTAACTATGTATAAATTAGTTCTTATATTTCGAATGTAAGCTTACTTGTGTACAGTATTTTTTGTTAGTTTTTAAACCATACGCAGCCAAGGTATTAGTCATTGTAAATTTAAATAAGATGTTTGCTTCAGAAACTTGTATAACCTACTGTAACTTTATATGGTTATTCATATTCAATACCAATAGTTTAGAATCATAAATTTTCTAGAACTAAACTTTAAACTAATTTTCTTCATAGATTTTTTTTTTTGTTATTTTATATATCTTTCGATGGTAATTTTATATTTTATTTTAATTTATCTAGTTTTAGGCATGTTTGTTATATTTTAAACATATATATTTTATAATTAATCTCTTTTGTTATTAATTTTCTAAATAGGTGGCATATATCAATTTAATCTCTTTTACATAAATATTTTTTCTTTGTTAACTTTATTTTTACATTAATTTTTATTTTAATTATAATGTTATTTTGACATGCTATAACTGGGTATTCTAAATTTTATGTGGATTTCTCTCAAAAGTTTATACCATCATTTATTTTTTTAGTTAATTTATTTATATTAATTTTCAAAAATATTAGCCTAAATATCAAACTAGGTTTTCTTTATACAACTTTTTCCTTTGATAATTTACCTCTCTTGATATTGATTTCTATTTTATTTTAACACATAATTGTTTTTAAAATATTGATATTTTTGAAAACATAACTTCATTTTTTATTTTTTGTTAGTTAAATATTTTTATATTGATTTCTTAAGTAGTTAATCAAATATTAAGTCAATTTCTTTTTAGGTGATTTTTTAAAATTTAGCATTTTGTAAAACTTAATTTTTATTTTATCTTTCTTTGTTAATTAATTTTTTAATATTGATTTCTTAAATCATTGGCTTAAATATTTAACTTCTTTTTGTTAGTAAAGTTTTTTAGTATTGCTTAAGTTTTTTTTTTATTTTCTTACTTATTTTGTGTATATTAATTTTGTTAAATAAAAAATAGCATAGATATCAAGTTAATATCTTCTTTTTTGTTAATTTAAGTTTTTCAATATGAATTTTCATTTTAATTGTATTGACATGTTGCGAAAATTAATTTACGTTTGGTTTTTTTGTTAGTTAAAAAAAATTATCATAATTTTCCATTCTATTGTGATAATTTTATATTTTTGTATGTTTTAATTTATTTAAATTATTAATAATATTTTCTATTTTTTATGTTTAATGAAAAATGCTGATATAGACTAATAAGATTAAGTATATATATCCCATGTAGACGCTCTCATTGGCCTAAGACATCAACACAGATTAGCAGTTCAGATTTTAATTGTTTGTCGTGATTAAAATTTTAAAATAATTTAATTATGGTTTTAAATACAGTTTTAATAATTTTTTTCAATATATATGATTTTTCTTTCATAATCTATTTATATGTTAATTTACCTTTTTATTGTTAAAAGAAAAATAAGATCTATTTTCAAAAACAAATTTTATTAATAACTAACTTAAAATTTAGAAACTTTCCTAATAACAACAAAAATAAAATTAATTAAAATTTAAAAAATTTTCTTATAACAAATTAGTTAATTTTAATATACAATATATAATTAACTAAAAATAATGATGATGTGTACCAATAAAATTGAATCTTTAAATTCTATGTGGACACCCTTAGAAGCATTTAGCATCAACTTTTATTAGTAATAGATGATTATAGATTATAGATGTTTTGCACACACACAAAATGTATTGATGTAGTTATTTTGAAATTATTTCGTTATTTTAAAGTTATTTTAAACAGAATCAAACCGACTAACCGTTTCAACCCGATTCGAAACCAAATTAATTGTTACAAAATCGGAAACAGAGAAACCGAACCGTGACTGAACCCTAAACCGAATTGTATACTCAAGTACGTATTTACGGACGTATAATTAAAAGCTTGAACAACAACACATGATTATGTCTGCTTCTCTTCTTCTCCTTCGAAACCTCTTCTCCTTCTCCCTCTCAGCAAACACAATACTTACAAAACCCTATTTCGCTATTTCAATCAAAGCCATGGAAGCTCAGAACGATCTCCCAGTAACCAATCTAGATTACCCAAAACCTATTTTCGCTCCGCCGCCTCCGATCTCAAAAGACATTGAACTCAAAAGAGCCATAGAAGCTTCGTCGAAATCGAGTCTCTTCAATCTCACAAGAGATGATGTACTATACGAAGACGAATATCTCATGGCCGTAAATAAACCAAAAGGCATCTACTGCGAATCTGTTCTTTCCTCTGCTCCTAACATTATCATCGGTAAGTCAATTTCTAATTACCCAAAATCCAAATTCGAAACAAATTTCTAATTTTTCTGGTTTTTTTTTGTTTCTTTCTCAGATTCTATAACGAATGAGTTTCATCTCGCGAATAGATTAGACCGTGACACTAGCGGCGTGATGCTCATAACTAAGTCTCACAAAGTCGCTGCGAAGCTCGTTAAAGCCTTCACTGAACACAAGATTCGTAAATCCTACATTGCCCTCTCCATCGGACCATCACCAAATTGGAGCAAGATCACTATTAGGTCAGGTCATGGACGATCAAAACACGGAGCTTGGCGCGTTTACGCTGCCTTAGACGTTGGTAGAGTCTTACCGGGAGGATCATTTGTTCGAGATATGGAGACAACGTTCGAAGTTGTGTCGGTAAACGGAGAAAACCCCGAACAATTCGAAGTTGAGTCTATCATTGTTGTCGAGGGGGAACCGGAATTGAGATGTGTTGGAGATTGTGATGTTGTTGTGGTTAGAGCGTTCCCTAAAAGCGGTAGGACGCATCAGATTAGGCTACATTGTCAGTATCTTGGGATTCCGATTAGAGGAGATGTTAAGTATCATGGGATGTATGAGTGGAGAGGAAGAACATTTGAGGGTCATGAGCTTCATGCTGAGAGTTTGTCGATGGATCATCCGGTGACGGGCGATCCTATCGTTATCCGAGCTCCTCTTCCGTGCTGGGCCGCCGGAGATGGGAAATGTGACGGTTGATAGTTAGATTTTGAATGGTTAGTGTGAAGATCCTTGTAATGACCAGCTCTTGGAGTAATTTTGTTTTGATCTTGGTTTTACATGATTTCCGGAATCTCCGCATGATAGGATAGCTCAAGATACAAAACACAGAATTGAAAAAATATGTTCCTTCGATGTGTAAGAAGGAATATTGTTTCCCAAAATCCACTGACAATTTTTAGTTCAATGGGAAAATTGTTTTTTTAACTTGTTTATGCAGAAATCTTTAATATCTCTATGTTTGATCATTCATGTGTTTAAAACATGGAAAAGTAAAAGATACATACATATTTAACTAGTTTATGATTCAAATCAGAATCACTATGTTCGGCCGAGATTATGTTCAGAAATCCACTACAAAACTTCTAGATTACACAAATTATTAAAGAACAAATTGTAAACTCACAGCAGCTTCTCTTGCACTCTCTCTTACCTTAATGTTTCAGTTAACACCTCTTTATAAATAATTTTCTATGCCACACTCTTCTCTCTTTCAATCCATACTCTATTTTAATTACAGAGGACGAAGATAAACAGTGGCAATTTTTAGTTTAATGCGAGAATTGTTTTTTAACTTGTTTATGCGAAAATCTTTAATATCTCTATGTTTCATCACTTATGTGTTTAAAACGTGGAAAAGTAAAAGATACATACATATTTAACTAGTTTACGATTCAAATCAGAATCACTCTGTTCAGCCGAGATTATGTTCAGAAATCCACTACAAAACTTTTTGATTACACAAATTATTAAAGAACAAATTGTAAACTCACAGCAGCTTCTCTTGCACTCTCTCTTACCTTAATGTTTCAGCTAACACCTGTTTATATATAATTATCTATGCCACACTCCTCTCTCTCTCTTTCAATCCATACTCTATTTTAATTACAGAGGACGAAGATAAACAGTGGCAACATTTTTGGCTGAGGTTAATTACCTCTCATGTTCTTGCGAGTTGCAACACCAAAGACACGTGACCTCCTCGTGCATTCTTTCTCTTTTTTGTTTAGCTGAAACCTGCTTCTTAAACTAGAGACTTCATGATATTTAGGTAATACTTCACAAAACTCCATCTTACCGTAGTGTCAAATGAAACAAGAGGTTTTTCGGTCTTGGACCAAATATCCTTAGCCTCTAATCAGTTGTAAAATAAGGATCATGTATCAAATCATTTGTGGAAGATGAGATGCAAACAATGCCATAAGCTTAGAAATGATGGGGTTTTGATTAAGCAAGGACAAGTCTAACAACCTAACAATGCAATAGAAAGAAAGCAGAAACTAAATGCAAGTAAATAGAACTAAGCAATGAATTTAAAGCAATGACTAAGTATGAACTAAGCAAGAATGATAACTAAAGCAAGAAATAAGCAAGATGATCTTAAATACGATTGATTAAAAGCAAGACTCAAGGTTCTAAGCAATTGTGGGATAATGGTTTTCAAGAGTGAAAATGGGGTTCTAACAAAGGCAAGCATCAAGCATTTATAAGCAAGCAATTCTCAAAGTTGTACTCCTAGACAAGGTATCTAAAAGAAACCAATTTGGCGTCAATAAGCAGTTTATGTTCAACAAGATTGAAGTGTCAAACCCACTTGTGATGGCGTATTCTTCAACCATGAGCATAAAGTTCAGAACCATTCTAGCCTAAGAGATGTACTAATCAAGCAATCTTTCTCTCACTCAAGCAAGAATTCAGTTCAACTTATCAATCTTGTGAACCAATAAGGACCTAGTTAGCTAAACACCTGATAATACCATATATTTTGCATATTTAGCATGCATTTATAGCTAGTTTTCATGCATTCATCTTGCATTATAGGCTAGTTTCTACCATTTGTTGCACTTTAGGTCCTAGATCACTTTGCATTCGCAATTTGCATATTTTCTGCATTTTTTTGCATCATTATCAGGTTGTTTGAGACATACTGGAGTGGTGGAGGTTGCGTGGACGTGCATTGGATCGAGATGAAGCTTGTGGACACTTGGAGAACTCAGCCGTTCAGCAAGGGACCCGAGATAGAGACGCAGATCGAGCTAGGCAGGTCGATCTAGACGAGATCGACCAGAAGATCGAGTGACTCAAGTCGTTTCATGGAGGAGGATTGAGACCAAGATCGAGAGAGGAGATCGATCGTGAGTACGGACGTGGATGACGCCATGCAGAACGAGAGCCAGATCGAGACCACGACCCGATCACCCAAGGATCGACCAGAAGATCGAATGAGGTGCTCGATCCATCCAACCAAATCGACTTGAAGATCGAGCAAGAGACAGCGATCCATGAAGAAGATCGAGCCAGAGATCGATCATTCAACTCGATATCTGGCACCTTATCCAGCCAGCTCATCTTTGGAGCGTAGTGAGGGGACCATTTGGCGGTTTAGCTATTTTGGGCAAAGGGGGAACATCACTTTCGACACATACGCTTAGTCTTATCTTTTTCCAGCTTTCCTTTAGGCGATTTTCGCCATTGTTCTGTTCTTGAAGTTTTTCATGTTTTGAACCTTGAATCTTTTCAATATTAAGTCTTTTTCTTTAATCGCTTGCTTGTTCATGTTTATGTTTTTTTCCCTTGCATTTCAATCGGTTTCAAATATGAGTAGTGAGTAGATTTCTTTTGGGTTTAAGGTTGGGGCGATTTAAGGGTTTAAAGGTTTAAGCTTTTGGGAGTTTTTCTTGTTCTTAACCTATTCTCTTATAGGATTTGGGGTCTTAAAGCTTAGAGAGTCTTGGAAAAGATCTCTATGATTCCAGGGCTTTCTTACCTTGACCAGATTCAGAGATCCTTGAAAACCAAATCCTAGAGACTAATCTATCCTCTCCCAAACGCCATGGATGAAGAGGGGGTTAGTTAAGCCAATATTTGAGATCTTTGTTTAATGTTTTTTGACCCATCTTTCCACTACACGCCATAGTTTAGGAGGAAGGGTCAGAGAAAGGGGTTATACCACACGCCATGGATAATCCTAATTTAAGTTTCTCAAGGCTTAGAGATAGCTCTTCAAAAGAGTAGATTTATGTTTTCAAACCCAAAGCTTGAATCTTGAACCTCTTGAATATGACCCTCAAACTTATATCCTCTCTTTTTAGCATTTTAAAACCTCTGTTTATCATCTCTAGTCATAAAGCTTGCTTCTTTGATCATTTGAAGTCATTCATCTAAGTTGTTAGAAGTGTCCTGTTTTACCCGTTTCAGTGCTCGATTTTTAGTAATTAGTAGATTTGCATTTTAGAGTCTCTGTTTTATTCTAGTAGTTGTTAACCTTCTTCCAGGGATTTTAACATAGTTTTCCTGCTCATTTGGTCGTTTCATTTAGTTTTCATTGATTTTACCATCTATTTACTCGATTCTGCTTAGATTTGCTTAGTTCTTGCATTCTTAGTGTCTTTCTTCACCCAGGCTGGATTGATCTCTTTTACTGCTATACTACATTGTTAAAAGTGGTTTAGGCTTTGATTTAAAACCTCGAAACATTCTGTTTATCAACACCAATCAAGAATATGAACTTATGCACACAGCTGCAACATCCTAACAGTGCTAGGCAATGAGCAGGAATGAAACAAAGGTAAGATCTTTCAATGCATACTATCTAACCATCAAGAAAGAATCTCAAAACCAGCACTATCTAGCCCTAAGAAAATCATCTAGCAATGGTGAACTATCACTTTGGTGTCACTGAACAAAGGAAACATAGACCAAGCCAAACTATCAAGTCAAATAAGCGAACCATGCTTAGAGATGAGATAACAAGCCATCTAGTGAACCATATGCATCAATCCATACCATATTCAATCAAAAGGAGCAAGCTTTATGAACAATAATCACTTTGCAAGAGAAGGAGTCAACATAGAACAATTAAATAAGCATAATCACCCCTTAATCACATTTTAATCACCACTTTCCCTTCTTAGAACCCTAAATCTAAGGTAGACTACTCACTAATCATGTTTAATCCCATTTGTTTAGAGTTAAACATGACTAGATGAGATTTAAATGCAATGATGATAAATCTAAACTACCAAGGTGCTAGAATAATGATCAATAGACAAGATTAAACCATAAAAATGCAAAGTTTATTAAAGATAAAGATTCTAAGGCAAATCACCCTTTAAGGTTTAGAGAAGAGAGTGTTTTTGATGAAAGACTAAACTTGGATAAAGATAATGTTTTGTGGCTTTCCTTTTATAGTAGGGAACCAAAAGAAGCATAAAAAACCTAAACATAAGATAAGGTCAACAAAAGTCAAATGGTCAATGCGCGGATGAGTTGCATCGAGGTGGTACGGATGGTGTTCTGCTCGATACGCGACCTCGATATGGCTCGTGCAGCGCATATTGGCTTCCTTGCTCGATGCTGGACCTCGATGCAGACTAACGGCTTAGACTTGTCGTGCTGATCCTCTTCCTCACGTCCTGCAGCTTACATCGAGCACACTCCACATGTGTTCTGCTCGATATCCTTGCTCGATATGGACCAGACTTTACAAAAGCTCCATTTCTGACATCCTCTTCGATCATGAGCTGTATTCACCTCCTTCCCAACTCCAAGAATCTCCAAGAACACCTGAAAACCACCACAAACATGTATGCAAATGTATGCAATCCATCATACACCCTCCCCCACACTTAAATTACACAGTACCTGTGTAATAAAAGTTCTAAAGAGAGTGCTCACAAACATCAAGCAAACAATCGCATGAAACTAAAAAAACAAATTTTTGGTATTTACAATGGTTAGTGTGGTGTACCTTACTTCAGGTGGAGGAGTGGTGAGAGTCTGAACTCTCAATGGCATGGGAGGGTGAAGCTTCTTCCTCTGATGGAGTTTGCTATCTAGCCCTTCTCTTCCTCCCTTTGCGCCTTGGAGCAGATACATGAGATGAATGTCTGGCCAGTTGAGAAGCATGTATCCTTGGCCGCTCACTGATCTGGAATGAGTGTCTCTCTTGGACTGTGGCCTCTGGTGTGTCCTCATACATGTCCTCAGCATCAGATCCTCTCCTTGTGGCTCTTCTTGGGCCGCTTGATGAGTTCTCTTGGCTGATGAAGATCCTCCCAACTTCTTTATAAGCTTCCTCACTTTCTTCTTCAATGAGTCAACCGATTCTTGCTTGTTTTGACTGTCTTCAGCAAGCCTCTAATGGCCTTGTCCTGGAAATGGATCCACCTCTGAAGAAGACTAATGTGCTCATGTGCAGCTTTTGAAGCTTCGGACATGCAGATCACATCATAGGGGTCAAAAGCATAAGGACGGCTATCATAGTCTTCATGTTCATTCTCC